GAAAGCTGGTAATGGGTAACCCAGGGTCAAGAAGGGGAGAGTGTTAACATGTCGTGGGGTTGACAACCAGTGTCACAAAACAATATATGTATTAATTATTTAATTAGAAACTAGTTTGTTCTGTAAACCTTCATGTAAAGTACAATAGAAAAAGAATATACACAAAGAAAATTGTGTGATTTTTAGTAATTTACTCTTTTTATATATTTTATTTGTATAATCTCTTGATTCTTGGTAAATCTAGACAATAGTTCCTCTATTATTTTTGTAGAACTGGTTTTTGGTTTTATTAAGTACCTCTATTTTTGTTTGTTTTCATTAATTTCTGCTCTGTATTACCTTTTTCTTCTAATTAAAATTGGCTTACTCTGCCATTTTGAGCTTCTTGAGTTTCATACTTAGCCCATTTACTGCCAATCTTTTTTAAAAAATTTGTGATAGAATATATGTAACAAAAAAATTGCCGTTTTAACCATTTTAAGTGTACAATTCAGAGAAATTAATTACATTCACCATGTTACGCCACTGTCATTACTATCCATTTCCAAAAGTTTTCATCACCCCTAACAGAAACTCAGTATGCTTTAAGCAGTAACTCTCCCTTACCCTCTCCCCACGGCCTTTGGTAACCACTGATAAACATTCGTCTCTATTTGCTTATTCTAGATATTTCATATAGGTAGGATCATACAATATTTAGCCTTTTGTGTCTGGCTTATTCCACTTAGCATAATGTTTTCAAGGTTCATCCACGTCGTAGCATGTATCAGAACTTTATTTCACTTTATGGCTGAGCAGTATTCCATTGCATGGATGTGGTGCAATGAGTTCCTTTATGCACTCTTTTTACCTTGGTTTTTAGAAAAACAGCTTCAGAGATTTTTTTCTTCCTTAGCCCTGAGGACTTGTTCCCTTTGTCCTCGGTCATTGGAGAAGCAACTGGGGGAGCCGGGGTGTAGGGGTGGAATTACAGGCTTTTTTCTACCTCAGAGGGTTTGTTACTTTTGCTTAGGGGGTTTCCTGAGTTAATGGACATTTCTTGGGTAAGCTATAAACAACTTGATGGTTTGATACTTTTGTTTGGTACTTAATAAGACATCAGTTAATTGACATCTCATGGCAAATTGAGGATTGGTTGAACTCTGGTCTGGTGAGGGAGGCCCCACCTTATTACTGATGAGGATCAGGGTATATAAATGGTTGAAATGCAGAAGTTTTAGAGGCCTCCTGGTTGAGAAATGCTGGCTAAGAGCTAGGCTGGCAGGGAAGCAGAGCCACATAGGAACCAGGTGGTCCTGAGGCTGCTACACTGGCTGTGAGCTGGACCAGTTAGCAGTGGAAAGCCAGTGGTGGAGAGGCCTCATGGCTGAAAGAAGCCAAGAGAGTTGAGCATCTGCTATACTGGCTGTGAGCTGGGCCAGTTAGCAGCAAATGTGCCAACAGCAGAGAGTCAGCAGCAGAGAGGCCTGATGGCAAGAGCAGCTAGGAGAGCTGAGAAGGCTGCTACACTTGCTTTGAGCCAGGCCAGTTGGCAACGGAGAGTCTGGACGGTGGAGAATCCCGGTGGTGGAGAGGCCTGTTGGCGGTAAGGCCCAACAGTACAGAGGCCACACGGTGAAGATGGCCTGACGTCAGAGAACTGTCTGAGGTCGTGATCAAGAACTGCACCAGCAGGGAGCATTTTTGCTCCAAAGGATATCCTGCAAGAAAGCTACCCTAATTGACCAATTGCATTCTGAGTTGTATCCTGTTACTTCCAAGTTGATCCTGATCCTGAGTTATACCGTTACTTTCAAGTTGCATCCTATTTTGAGTTGTCTCCTGAGTTATATCCTAGTAAAACACTTAACTGTAACTACAGTTTGTGAGTTCTGTGAGACATTGCAGCAAATTACCAAACTCAACTGGGGAAAAAAGAGTGCTGAGGGGAGAGGGAGTAGCTAGTGTCAGAGGTGATGGACTGGCACAGCAGCTTGGAGAAGTTGGAACTGGGATATATTTCACCTCTACCTCATAAGAACAAGATTTGTGCTGATTCTTTTTCATGCATTTATTCGTTTAACGGATATACCACATTGTTTATTCATTATTAATGAACATTTAGGTTGTTTTCACTTTTGGGCTGTTGTGAATAATGCTGCAGTGAACATTGGTGTACAAGTGCTTGTTAGAATCCCTGATTTCAAGTGTTTTTGGTATGTACCTGGGAGTGAAATATGTAATATGGTAATTCTCTGTTTAACTTTTGAGGGACCACCAAAGAGTTTTCCACATCAGCTGTTCCATTTTACATTCCTGCTAGCATGCAGGAGGGTTCCAAGTTCTCCACATCCTCACCCACCCTTGTTACATTCCATTTTTGTATTTTTATAATAGTGGGTATGAGGTGGTATATCATTGTGGTTTTGATTTGCATGAATCTAATGACTAACGATATTGAGCATCTTTCATGTGCTTATTGGCCATTTGTATATCTTCTTTGGAGAAATGGTGTCTTAGGTTGGGTTCTCTAGAGAAACAACCAGTTAAGCATATAAATATATATATTCAGAGAGATTTATATCAAGGAAATGGCTCACATGATTGTAGAGGCTAGAACGCCCTAAGTCTGTGGGTCAGGCTAGAGGCTTTTCCTGATTCATATAGTCACAAGGGGCTAACAAACCTAAGATTGGCAGGTCAGACAGCAGGGCTCTTGCTCACAGGCCACAAAGACCAACGAATCCCAAGATTGGCAGGCAGGACGGCAGGTAGCTGCTAGCTCATGTCCCAAGAACCGGAGGTCAGACGAACAGGAGCCAGCTGCAGGATCCAGAGTGAGCAAAAGCCTGTGAGTCTTGACAGAAAGTCCACCTATATTGGATGCAGGCCATATCCCCAAGGAAACTCCTTTTCAACTGATCGGCTGCTCACAGAAGATCCCATCATGGAGGTGATTATGTTATATCAGATATCATCATGGAAGTGATCATGTCATCATATAACTGTCAAATTATGTCATAAGTGCCAAACCCCTGAGAATCATGGCCCAGCCAAGTTGACACACAACCTTAATGATCACAAATGTCTGCTTTAAAATCCTTACTATTTTCTTAATTGGATTTTTAAAAATTTTTTGTTGTTCAGTTTTAGGAGTTCTTTATATATTCTGGATATTAAATCCTTATATATAGTTTCCAAATATCTTTTCATTTTCTTAATAATGTCTCTTAATGCACTAAAGTTTCCTCAGGGTTTGCTGCTGTTTTGTTTTGATTGTTGAAGACTGTAGTAGCCTATTGTTTGTTGAGGGAAGCAATTGTCCATTGATTTAGTGACTTTTCCAAACTATTTTTGCAAAGACTGGATTCTTTGTGTGTTTTCTGAAGACTCTGTTCCATTAGCTTGTGTTCAGCTGGTATTCTGATAGACATTTCCTTGATCTCCAAGAGTTAAAGAGGAAGAAAAGAAATAAATGAAAAATAGAAAATTGCCTACCTTTTTAAGTCTTTGCAGATTGGCTCAGTGCTAGGGCACTCCATCAACACTTATCCAAACTTACATTGAGAATAAAGATCAGCCCAAGTGAAAATTTAGGATTTTCTCAGGCCTTTTTGAGTATGTGTCTTCCCCTACTTAGAATCTTTATGACTTTTGAGATTCCCTGGTAAACATGGGCACTTATGAATGCTCTAATTTTCCAAAGACTGTCTTTCTCTCTCTCCTTTTTCTCTTTCTCTCCGACTTTTTCCTTGGTCTTAGGCATTTTATTGTATGTCTCAGTTGCTCTTTTGTGGCCTCAGGTGGCTGTTGGCTTTTAGGTTGCCTTACAGTGTTTCATGCTATGCCTGCTACTTTTCAGCCCTGCATTACTTCTAAGATGGAGGAAACAGAGATGAGTGCTTTGCTTCAGTCCTTTAGGGAGCTTACAGACATGTTAGAACAGAAAAACACAGTAATTTGTGAATCAGGTCTGCTCTGCTACCTCCAGAGTCAGGGACCAGGATCCCAAGCTGTGAACATGGTCTGACACTTCAAGCCGGCTGACTTTTGGGGATGGGAGTGGGGTTTGGACCAGTAACAACAAGCCACAAAATTCTCCTACCATTTGAAGTTGTCTTTTTCTTGATTCAACATTTGCTTGGTTGCTGTGTACAGGGGTGGATTATCTAATAGGCAAGATAAACACAGTGCTTATCTTGCTTACCAGATCATTTGTAGTGAACAATTTCACATTTTATCACCACATCAAAGATTTTGCTTCTAGGTATGGCTGTCATCTGTCTCTCTCCCAACCGCACAGCACCTTCTTACAGAATCAAAGCCTCTTTTCAAATTTATACTCCTTGACAGGTACAGATCACCCAGTAAGCAAGGTAAGCACAAGCTTACTTGTGCTTACTAATCTGTAGTGCCCAATTTCACATGGCTTTCCCCAGTGATGTGGTGAATGACTCGTGTGAAATTGGCCACTACAGATTAGTAAGTGAGCACAAGTAAGCCCGTGCTTACCTTGCTTGTAATCTGTCCTTGGTTGTGTATTTTTGACTATTTTCCAGAGTTCTGAAAAGCTTTGTTCTTACAGTTTCTGCTTGTTTATCAGTGTTCCTGTGGGGAAATGTAGTTGTGGAGCTTCTTACTTCATCTCCTTGGTGACGTCACTCCAGCCTCATCTGTCTTTTGATTATAGCCATCTTAGTGGGTATGAAGTGTGGCAATTGTAATTTTAAATCTCATAGTAATTTTTATGTGCATTTCCCTGATGACTAATGTCCTATTTTTTACATATAGTTTTTGTGACGGTTAGTTATTATTTAAAATTGTAGTAAAGCTTTATAATACACCTAAAATTGTTTCATACATCAAATATCTATTAGTGGTGATGCCAATATTTTAGAAACAGTGTTTTGAAATTTATAATATTTGGATAGACTTTTGTCTATCTAAAGTAGTATCTCACCTGTCAGATAGGAAGGATTATCAGATTTTTTATTTATGTGGGCAATTTTATGTCTCTACAGTTCGAGGCTTTTCTTCAGAAACTGATTTTGAGAACTATGTTAAGTATGACGACAGCTCTGACAAAGTACTGGCTGCCATTGTTTTTGAAGACTTCAAAAACAGCGGTGACCCCCTGCCACTTCAGGTGAGAAAATTATATTGAGAGGTCTTAAAATTGTACTTACAGTTTTTAGGATTTTAATGAATTACGTATTACAGTAACCCTGGAGTGCAATGGTTTTCTCTTTATATATGGCCTTTCTGGCCTTAGGTTTATAATTCTGCCAGAAAAAACTGGTTAGGCCACAGCCTGCCCTGTAATTGGTCTATCTTACACACATTGCAGGAATTGGTCAGTTTACTACGCAAGGAGGGTGCGTAAAACCACCCAGTATGGATTACCTTGCAGAGATTGGTTTGTAGCCTGGCTGGGAGGGCTGTGCCTTGAAATTGAATATAAAGATCAATCCTACAGAGGTTGAGGGAGACCTCACTACCATCAAGAATAGCCTGGAGGAGACTCCGGCAACATGGCGGTCTAGGCAGAAGCACCACGCCGTCCCTCCACAACAAAGATCCGAAAAACTAAGCCAAACAGAGAATCAACAATCCTGAAACCCTAGAACATCAA